CCTGCTATTTCCTTGGCCTGATCCACCTCTGCTTGTAGATTACCTTCATGTTGTTTTTGGGAAGGGGCTCTCCAGGCAATGACTGAGCAACGTGGTAATTAATGTTCAAGCCATTTCTACCCAACATAAGATTCCTTGGATGACATTTGTGGTTCTGGAATCCATCTCAAGGGGCAGAATCCTTATCAGTTCCACATTCTGATCTAACAGTGCCCCCCCCAATCATTCTTACATGTTGTACCCACAAATAACCTAACCCCTCTTGCCAGTCTTTATGACTGTGAGTTAGGGAAGGTTTTATCCTGTACTAAAGTTTTATTCTGATACTGCACTGGATTGTATTGAATTACTGATGTTATCACAGTAATTGTACACGATTCTACTGAGTCTGAAATTCTGAAGGCAGATTTCCAACTATTGCCATGTGCCACCAAGCCTATCTACAAGTGTATTTCCCTATGACATTTATTGTAATCATGGCTTGAACACCAGGCTGACTCTGGCAAGCAAACATTTGCCTGATTACAGCTGGCCAGCATTGCCTTCAAACAGCAGGCGAGTTCGATTGTCCCTGTTCTCCATCTTACAAATAATCAAAGCTGGAGACACTAAACAGAAGTGCTGTGGCCATTCAACTGTATTCCATCTTAATTTGGTGTGGTGAGATGAATGTGTGTATACTTTGCTTTACTCAGTAGTACCACTGCATCTAAATAATTGCTGTCTAGGTCTATTTACAGGGAGACTTTGTGTTTATTTATTTATTTATGGTAACAAAGGGTCTTGCTTTCACTGCTTCAAAATAGCACAAAGAAGTGCCTGTTGTGTGGGTGGGAGAATGTCCTTCCACACTTGGCTAGTATCTAGCATTCTCTAGTGGACACCAGCTATGTCCCGGTTGGCTGAAGGCAACATATACATATTGCAGCTATAAATAGAAAGGCCATGCAAGCACGCATGCCTGCTCTTCTTCTTCTACCACACACGTTCTTGTTCTGTGATCTTTTCTTGATCTCTGATAATCGGCCCTTTCCACCCTATAGTGGCAAGAAGATGAGAGCCATATGTTCACAAATTGGACTAGGAATGCATGCTCCAGAATTTCTTAGAAATAAAATAAGGCGCAATTTTTGAAGCCATTTAGATTGATATTAAATGAAGAATGGGTAGGAATGAAAAGAAATAGCTATATTGTGAGACTTTAAATTAGTTGGTCACAAGTCCCTTATGACACATAGAAATATGTGTCAGATGAGGCATGGTGCTAGACTAAACTCAGTGACAGTGATGATTTAGAATCTGTCATTGCAAAGGTCCTGGATCTGTGTGTAAATTTTAACACCCCCAAGTCCCCTAGACATGAATGACGAAAGACACTGTAGCCATCTTAGTCAGCCTTCAAAGCAAAGCTAATCACAACAGCGGCTGGAGAGGGGGAGCGAGAGCTGTTCCAGGTCTACTCGGTCAGGGCCACAGCCTCTAAATTTAGTCTCCCCCAAACAGAAAAGATTGCTTGTCGTTTTCCGTGTCCCTAACACACAGCTGGTCATGTCTTCCCAAATTCAATTTATTCTGTAGGGTCTGAGGACCAGAAAAAGACAAAAGGGAAACTTTCCCCATGGTTACTCAGAGGAAATTAAGCAAAGCTTTGCATGCCTGTAGTTGAAAAAAGAAAGAAAGAAAGAAAGAAAGAAAGAAAGAAAGAAAGAAAGAAAGAAGAGATTCAGCAAACTGAAGAAATACGGAATGCCATTTATGTTCAGGCTAGTTTAGAGTTTAAAACAGAGATGCTCAAGAGCAGGCCATCATAATAATATATAAAAGCAACATTTCACCAACAGCTTCATTTAGCCTAAATGCTCATGTCAAGATATTGGGAAAAGTGAAGAATCTGTGCAAAGACATACAGTCTCAGTGGCTTCCTGCGGTGCTATGGAAACAAACATAATATCCTCATGCCCTCAGGCCTGAAATTTAAAAAAGGCTTCAGACACTTGGCTGTGTTTTAAAGATCGATTCACATAGCATACACTTCTAAGTCTGTGGGCGTGCCATGGTGGATTATTTTGTGATCCTTCATGTAACGAAACTAGTATATTTGGTTTACTTTAAGATATTTTTCCTTTATTTTCATGTATCAGAAAATAGAACACATTTTATCTTCATAGCCCATTATTAATGTGTTAGCAGTATTCTTTCTTCATTGAGAAATAAAATAATTGCCTTTTTTTATAATAAAAGAAATAGAATAGCAGAACAGTAATGGCATTTGTATCAATTTAAGTTTTAAGATCTTCTCTGAACTTAGTCATAGTGCCAAGTATTCTATAATTAGCATCTTTTGGGGAGGGTGGAGAGGCAGGGTCTTCTTGTGTAGCATAGGCTTGCCCTGAACTCATGACCCTTTTGAGAGCCACAGCCTCTCACGTGCTGGGATTATAGGCATGTGCCGCCACCCTTAGTTCTATGATTATCATCTCATCTAAAGAAATACAAGCATTAATATATAAATATCAGCCTTGTTTTATGTACTAGAAAACTGACATCAAGAGAGTTAACAGATATGAAATGAGGCTTTGCAGAACCCAGTTATCTGAATACGGACTGTACCCTTTCGCTAGGTTATCTTGCTTCTTGCCTCATCTTCTCTCCAGTTCCAACAACAAAAATGATATAATTGTTACAGCAGCAAGGATTTACATGCCATTTATGTGACTGACAGTATGTATGTGTGTGTATGCATGCTTATGTGTGCAAACTCATTTAATGCAACCTATCGATAAGGTAGGACCGTCATTCCCACTATTTTATAGAAGAGGAAGAAGAGACATAAGTGACAGAATAAGTGACCTTGAGCCAGGCAGCCTGTGGGGCTCCTGCTTTGATTGGTCCACAAGAGTGTCAGTAAGAAGCACCAGGACCCTCTCTTCCCGACATGAGAGCCTAACCCAGTGTCCATAATCATTCATCTGACTTCAGGAAATAGATTAATCTTCCAGTTTATCATCTCCCTATGACCTCCCTCAAGCCTCCCCCCTCCCCCATTCTCAGGTGGAACATACTTTTTGTAAACTGCAAAGTAAATTATATAACAGTATTTCCTTGGGGCATTTTATTGGAATGTCAGCACCTAGCCACATAATACAAATCAAACCACGGGGCAAAAATAAAGAGCACTGACATGTTCAGCACCCAGTATGATCCAGGAGTTTGCTTATGTGGCGCATATCCTCCTCACCATCTACAGTTTATCTGTATTTTTATGGTAGAGAGGATGGTGAATATAGGTGAGAGACTTAATGTAACATGAACAAGGTGACATCAATACAGGAGAGCCCTTCGAGGGCTGTGTGATGACCATGGCTAGCACACCAAAAATGTTCAAAATGGATACTCAGTATAGGAGGAAGGAGAAACCTTGGTTGTGGTCTACGAGGATGGAGAGTGTGTACTTGGAGACTTGTCAAAGTTATGAGAGACAAAGCCTACCAGCATTGCTGTGTGGAGGAGGTCACTGACCCTGAAGGAGTGAAGGCATTTCACAGAACCAAGAAGTGGGCCTGGCTACCATCTCATTTTCTAATCCCGGGTGTAGAAGACTGGCTGCATGGATAGTTTGAGCCTTTGGTCACTGTGAGACATTGTAACACGTGAGAAGAGTTTGAAAGATGACATCTTACTCAGTAAAATGAAATGACTGTTTACTGAGCCTCAAAGAGCACATCTGTTTTTTTTCTTTTTTATTTATTTGTAACATCCCAACTGCAGTTTCCCTTCCCTCCTCTCCTGACAGTCCTTTCCCACCACCCCACTTTCCCTCTTCCCCCAGATCCATAGCTCCTCCATTTCCCTTCAGAAAAGAGCAGGTCTCCCATGTATCAACCGAACATAGTATAGCAAAGTACAATAAGACTAAGCACAAACTCTTATCAAGGATAGATGAAGCAATCCAATAGGAGGGAAAGGGTCCCAGAATCAAGCAAAAGAGTTAGGAACAGCCCCCGCTCCCACTATTAGGAGTCCCATCAGAACACCAAGCTACAAAACCGTAACATATATGAAGAGGGCCTAGCTCAGACTCATACAGGCTCCCTGACTTTTCAGTTAAGTATACAGAGCACATCTATTAAGCTAAAGATGAGATTAATAGAAAGTCTACAGCTAAAATTCAAAATTTGGCAAATGATATAGAAAATTTGGCCAACTTTTTTTTTTTTGCCACAAATCTGCTGTACTTAAAAAAAAAATAGTCAAAGATCTTCAAAAATAATGTCCAGGCGATTGAAAAACCCAGCATGTGATTTACAATATGCCACCGAATTTGAAGTGCTTTGGAAGAGCGTTTACTTAAACCTCATGAAGACAATGATTTAAAGCATGGAATGGAGCCACCAGCGTGGGCAGAAGTGAGAAAGGTTATTACAAAAACAGCCTGTCTTCCCTTGTGTAGGGGAAAAAAAGCCAGAAGCAGGGAGAATCTGTAGTCAGTGTGTCTAAATGGCTGTATCACCCTAAAAAATGCGGGTCAACACTGGGCTTTTCAGGGCCAAGATGAATTCCTCCTCCATCTCCCTCCCTCTGTTCCCTCAGGACCCTGTGATACCCTCCTTTGTGATCAGGGCGGGATAGAAACAGCAATGAGTTGGAACTGAGATTTGGAACTGAGTGCTATCAAATCAATACGCCAGCTGGAGCAGAAAGTCCAAACAACATAAATTTCTTGGAAAATGACCCTGTCTTTTGGCAATTATTACTGTGAATGGGAATAACTCAAACTCTTAAGTGTAGCATGTCTTCCCCCATGCTCCTCTGTGGTGTGTTTTACTCTTGTATTTCTTCCTAGCTCATGATTACATATTTCTATGATGGTTGTAGCAGACTGACTCTGAAGGATGCATGTTACAAGACAAGGATGCATGTTACAGACTTTATTTTGATTTTGTGTTGCAATTGTCTTTCTTTTCTTTCTTTCTTTTGTGTGATGGTTTTCCTTTTATGTTGTACTTACCTGGCAGGGGAGTTGCCATGGTCACAGAGATAAGGTTTTTCCAGAATGGAACTGAACTCTTGCACTCTGGATGTGCTGACCCCCGAGATTTCTCCAAATCTGAGGAACTCCACTGCATAGTTTTGGGTAGTGTATTCACATTCATATCTATATTAAAAATAAAAATGGGAGTGCAAACTTGTACAGCTGCTGTGGAAATCAGTATGGCGATTTCTCAGAAAATTAGGGATCAACCTACCTCATGCCCCTGCATATGGGCATATACCCAAAAGAGGCACATTCACATCACAAGGACATTTGCCCAACTATGTTCATAGCAACATTATTTGTAATAGCCAGATATTGGAAACAGCCTAGATGCCCCTCAACTGAAGAATGGATAAAGAAAATGTGGTATATTTATACAACTGAGTACTACTCAGTGGTAAGAAACAATGACATCCTAAAATTCACAGGCAAATGGACAGAACTAGAAAAAACCATCCTAAGTGAGGTAACCCAAAACCAGAAAGACAAATATAGTATGTACGTCCTCATGAGTGGATCCCAGACATAAAGTAAAAGATCCCCAGCCTACAATCCACAGCTCCAGAGAAGCTAGAACCCTCTTCCAGAAACAGATGGAAGCAGCTGCAGAAATCCACAACTAACCAATGGGCCAAGCTCCTGGGGTGCAATCTAAGTGAGGGAGGAGTGATAATGTGAACCAAGGAGTCAAGACCATGATGGGGAACCCCACAGAATCAGCTGACCCGAGCTAGTGAGAGATCACTGACTCAGGTCTGACAAATGGGGAACTGGCATAAGACTGAACTAGACTCCCTTAATATAGGTAGGTGACAATGGTGTAACTGGGACAATATATGAGGCCACTGGCAGTGGGTCCAAGATCTAACTCTAATGCACGAAGTGGCTTAGTGGAGTCCATTCCATATGGAGAGATATCTTGCTCAGCCTAGACACAGGGGTGTTGGTGAGGAGAGGTGCCTTGGTCCTGACTCAATGAGAAGATGGGACAGACTTAGTAGACTTCCTAGAGGAGGCCTTATCCTACTCTATGGAGGGGAGCAGTGGGGGTAGTAGGGAGAGAGGAAGGAGGGGGAACTGGGATTGGAATGTAAAAAATAATAAAAAAAATGTATTTCTGTGGAATAATCCCAAAATGAAAAACAATATATTTAGAATCCACTAATGTTTGCACTTTAAAAATTACCACATTTAAGCATAAAATCAGCCTAACAAGTTAGCCTAATGAGCGAGAACCCCTGTGATTAGGCCCTCTTGGTGGGACTGGAGCAAGCAACAGGACTCCTTGCTGCATTTAGCTGATTAATCTTTAGGTCATATACAGTAGGGAACTTGGTTAATAAATTCAACCGTATTCATAGTGAACGTACCATGTACAACCAGGGTCTTTCTCTGAGGAAAAAGAGTTCCTCTTTATAACATCAATGCTTGGGCAATCAGTTTAGAAAACAATACACCTTACCTCGTTTATACCCTAGAACTTTGGCTTTTGCCTTCGTGTTCTTTCTCACTCTTTCTCAGTCTTTGCCAATTTAGCAGGGACCATAAGCAAGGTATTAGACACTCCATCCCTCTTAATTTGGAATTCTAGTCACAACTTTGCCATTTAACATCCTTGATCCCTGAGATTCAGTGTTTGTTATGCATTTTGTTTTTCTCCACTCATATATCCAAATGTATTTCGTATGGGTCTGCTTTTGTGTCTGGACCTGAGTTAGACACTAGGGACAGAAAAACGAACATTTTACATAGAAACCTGGGCCATGGGATACTTAAAACCTCTGAGAGGAAATAGACATAAGACAGATGGTTATAGTGCTAATTAGATGGTTATGTTTTTGTTGAATGGCAGGAAGGAATATCTGTGTACAGGTTGACATCTAATAGTGGACTCTAGTGGAGCTTGTGTGAATTCTGAATTCCAAAATGTGTCTGACACATAGTAGGCCTAATAAACTGCCTGAATTGGAAACTGTGTCATTAGATGGGGGTGGGTGGAGTAAACTGTCAAGGACACAGTACCAGAGTTTCCTGTTTTTTTTTGCCACTTACTTATAAGGAAATAGAGAGCAATCTTTTTGCTGATGGGCTGACAGAAAAGGGAAGAATTTGTTTTATCCTGAGGAGAGGAAAAATATCTCAAGAACTCAAACTTAATTTGTGTCTTCGATGTTCATAAACCTTAAAGAGTGCATGTAAGCAATTGGTGGATTTTGCCTTTTTTTGTTGTTGTTGTTGGGTTTTTTTTTTTTTTGGTTGTTATTTTTTGTTTTTTGTTTTGTTTTCTCTTTCTTCCACACTGCTTTGGTGTCTTACTCAGAAGTTAATTCTTTTGACAAGTATAATTCTATGCCTGTTCAGAAAGAGACATAGAAAATGAGGCAACTGCTCCTTGTGGCATGGGCTCAGGAGAGCTGCTGGCATTGCCTGTCTCACCCCTCTCTGGGGTTGGTGAAGCTGGGTGAAGACCCCAGCAACCAACTCAGCTACCTCCCAGACCCAGACTCAGGGCCCGGAGTAGGCCCATCCCAACATCTTCCCTACTGTGCTGTTGGAGCTCGGGAAGAGGCTGGTCATGTAAATCTATACCCGAAGGATCACCCTGACTCTGAGCAACAGCAGGGTATCCCAGGAGTCTTGCTGAGGGTCCAATATCAATGGTGTAGCAGAAGCCAGAGGCCCTGAACCAGACCAAGGATTCATTGCAATGAGAGCTGTTTGGGCGTACGGCACATGGCAGCACCCAATGCCACTACAACAAACGAGTATGTAATGGAGAGGTGGGGTGGAGGGGCAGAGTTACACCAAGTACGCGGCAGCGCTAGTTGGTATGAGAGAAAGCTGCAATTGATAGAGGAGCAGGTTGTTCCCCAGAGGGCTCAACGAGATGTGCTTTTTTTTAGGGGGCGGGGTATTTGGAGACAGGGTTTCTCTGTGGCTTTGGAGGCTGTCCTGGAACTAGCTCTTGTAGACCAGGCTGGTCTCCAACTCACAGAGATCTGCGTGCCCCTGCCTCCTGAGTGCTGGGATTAAAGGCGTGCGCCACCAACGCCCGGCAAGATGTGCTTTTTATTTTATTGTTTTTTAATCTTAATTTTTAATTTTCTTTTGGGGGGGCGGTTACAAGTGTGGAGGGTGGAAGTGGAAGAACTGGGAAACGATTGGGACTGGGATGTATAATGTGAAATTCCAAAAGAATCAATTAAAAAAGTATGTTTAAAAAAGAAAGGTAGAAAATGAGGCACATGATTGTCTGACATCCAGCAAAGGGATTTTGGATTTTTAAAATTCAATTCTGTTTTATATAATTCATCACATTTTAATTGATAAAAAAAATGAGAGGAGGGAGCTGGAGAAGTGGATCCATAGTTAAGCCACTTACTACTCTTGCAGAAGACCCAAGTTTGGTCCCCAGCACCCAGGTGGTATCACACAGCCATGGGGTAACTCCAGTTCCAAGGAAGACGAGGTCTGCTTCTTGCCTCTTGGGGCACAGTATGCATGTGGTATATACATCAAAACACATGGGTAAAGCACCCACCCATACAATAAAGATAAATACAACTTTTGTAAAATGGAAGAAATCTGGTGTGGTAAGTAGAAGGAGCTCTGTTCTAAGAGGAGAGGAGAGGGTGACTTCTGCTTCTAGCCAATCTAAGAATGGAATATTGCAGATTTCAAAGTCAGCCCAGGAAGCTATGCGATTGCTCACCCGATGAGGCCCAAGTCTACAGGGAAATCCTGCTTTTGTTGATACATTAACTGCTTTAATACTATTGCCTTTGGTATTTAGGGTATTTTGTGTTACTATAAGATGAAGATATATATATCAGAAACGGGACCACAAACACATTTGCCTGACTCATGGGATTTGATCTGAAGGGACGGTGCTGTGATAAGGAAAAATGGCAAGATGCAGAAAGAGGGTGAAAAGAGAGGAAGTCATCCAGAATGAAGGTGGGAAAGGGGGATGAAGAAGCGAGGTCTAAAGAGACTTTTCTTCATACTGACTTAGAGCAGCTGAGAATACTTAACAGCAATTTCAGTGAAAACGCTCTCTGGGAAAGTTTCTCTTTGATCATTTGACTGCATTTGAAACACTGGTAAATCACAAGTTCAGAAGATCAAAACCTGACAGGGATCCAAACTTGAATCAATATTCAAAGGAAAGTTTACAGATGGGGAGACTGGGTCAAAACAACGAATACAAAATATAGAATTACTAGCTTAAGATTCTAGGTTTGCACTCTTAATCCAGTGATAGATTTGTTGCCTGTTCTTGCTTTGTTCAGAGCGCTTGACAGTAACAGACTGTCTCTGTGCTGTGTTCCATGTTACGGGGCTCATGTAAACTGGACTTCGTGTGGTTCTAATGTCCACTTCACTGAGCACCTGAAATCAGCACCGTGTGTGCCGCATCCTATGAGAGAAGAGACTTCAATATGCCCAAGATCAAATATATTACTGTTTGACCTGGAAAAACTTAATCTTTATGCTTCATTTCTCCCACCAAGAAGTCATGAGTGCTGGATAGTCTGCAAGCCCAAAGACTGAATGTGGGGACACACACTGTATTTGAAGCGCATCCTGGAACCCCCTTTGACTTCAGTTTTATCATACTTCTGTGAGTTGTTTATTTGATTTTAGGCAAGTTGCTTATGTTTGTATTTCTCACTTTCCTCATCTGCATACAGAAATGGTATATAGTGTCTATCTGATAGATATTAAATACATGATGCCATAGATAGTAAATACATGAACTCAGCTATTTCAGTTTTGGAGTCATAGCCTCTGTGGTTGTCTGCACTGGGCCTGCACAATGCTGGTGACAGAAATTATCAGTCATGCAGACAGAGGGTTTCAAGGGTCACACCCCTCCTTGGTGAAGCATTGGCCACTGAGAGATGCTATGGGGGATCATTGTCTTCAGTGGCGTACCTACTTGTGAGTCTACCAGACTCCAATGGTTGGTTCACACCTATGGTTAAAAGCTGGCTCTGCTTAAACCTGTGGATCACAAAACAAACTACACAGCTCAGGAGAAGGACTTACAAGGAGCAAGCACTGTACATGTGTATGAAACACCTAAAGAACAAAGTTAGTAAAAAGTAAAGGCGACTGAAAGAC